TGTGTGTGTGCGCACGCGCGTGTGTGTGTGTGTGCATGAATGTGTATGCATGCGTGTGTATGCGTGCATGTTTGCGAATGAGAGAGGAAACTCGAGTCCTGCTACAACTCTACAGACAGTACGATTAATTTCGTTTCACTATGTAGTACATCTGTTTATGCCCGCATTTTCTCCAGACCGACATTATTTTATAATTCACAGTAAGAAACAAACTGATCACTTAACAAATAAACAAATATTTTATTTGAGTTGGTTAATGTCTGCTTTTGAGTCGATACATCAGGGTGTGTTTTAGAGAACTTGTTATGGTGCCCACAGCATCCTTTACAATGAATGCTCCCTACAGGTTCGTTTCGCCCTGTCCATTTTCGCCGCTATCGGGAGTCGCTCGAACGAGCCTTTGCTTATACCTCCAAAAATTGTTTTCGTCAAAACAAAAAAATTGCTGTCGAAGAAAATTATATGTGAAAACAGTTTTAAAAATCACTTTACAATATCCAGACAAAATTCTCAACATTCTTCACTACAATATTGAAACATTTTTAACAGTTTTAAGATAATAGTATATAATATAGACGACGGGGATTGTTTAGGCGCTGCATTCGCACGGGGTGAAAAAATAAATATCATTAGTTTGTTTCTGTAAAAAAAAATCTTAGCATAAAATAATTTTGAAGGAAAACACAACAAAAATATATTGAAGAGGTTAACTTACGTATCCGGAGGCCGCATCCAACAGTCCTATGAGAATGAGAAGGGGAACCATATAGAAACCCGCATCGCGGGCTCCAGTGATCTTCATTTCACGGAGTTAATCAGCCCTCGATTGGAAGATGTCCCTCCCGACTGGCGAGTAAACTCTTGGAAACCTTCACTGTGTTTAACCTAGTCTTGAGTCACTCCTCAGAAAATCACCATAGCCTAAAAGTGTTCACGGTAAACCTACAATAGAGAAATGAGTTTCAAATTGTTTGCCGTCAAGACTCCTAGTGCCTTATTCCACCATCTTGACGGCCTAGCAGAAATCTTTTCTCGCTACCGACCTGCTCACGAGTAAGCACTACTTGTAAAAGGAACTATTTTTGATGAAAATAACAAACTATCTTTAAGAGTCGAAAAATTTTCAATTCTGGGTTTAAAAGTTAGAAAAGTATATCAATTCAGCAGGAAAAAAGATTTCTGCGTCTGTACTCGGCCTGAAACTTGAAAATCAAAGAACAAATTTGGGATTATTTTCTTACGCGGTACCAGAGTTCCGCCCATAGGTAGTACGCCGTCTGGGTTCTAACCGTGGCCACTGTCAATCATCTCATCGCAATACCGTGCTTACCCCACTAACCCAGTAATTCCCTCATGAATATGTATGGCTGCTCGTTCATCAGCGTTCCTGCGTACACACCCTGAGCTCAAGAGGTGGGAGTGAGGGTCCACTCAAAACTTTCTAATTACGGCTGTGGTGGGTGTCGATAAGTGACCACAACAACCGTTAAAGTAAGAAGGGGGAACCCAACAAGGGTGGGGATGCACAATAATCATTTTGTTTCAAATCTTTAATTTGTACTCATACTTATTACGTGGAGTGGGTGGAGCTCTTAGTCTTGTTATAGAGAGCTTTTTATTATGCGCATAACTTATAACTAAGGTGCGTGGGACAACGGAAATAAATATCACATATCATAGTTAGTTTTGTCTTAATTAAAGGTGACACCCGAGACAGAAAAAGAAATATACGCAAACGGTTAGTGGTTTCCGCACCCCCTGTAGGCGTGACACGCTGGATTATTCATTCACAAAACCCTGGGCGCGTACAGACGTTCTCTTTATGGCCTCCATTAGCTCACGGTAGCTATGCACGTTCATAGGCTCCGCCCCCTTTCTCCTCCCGTACTTCAGTCAAGCTTTACTCTTCCGCTGCATACGCGAACACCAGATCGCCAGGCGCCTCCAAGAACAGAAAATATTCTTGAGAGGATCTGTGTGTGTTTGTGTAGTAGTCTCGATGAGAGAGAGAGAGTAGGAGAAGATTGTGACTAAATAGACACTAACTGGGATTTCTAAATCCTACTTGGGCTGAATTTTTATTCAGCCTTGCTAGGAAGGCTGTAAAAACGGCGGCCGTCGCGCTGTCTGCTTCGACTCCAGAGTCCCCCCGACATATTCCAGGGCCGTATGAGGCAGCACATTGAGGGTACTGCCACCAGGGCTGCTGGTGCCGCACAGGTTTCTCAACAGTTTCCATCCAATTTTTCTTGTGATCACAGAACCAGTAAACCAGTGCGACGGCGCACGATGTCCTCATGGTGAGTACACTACTGTTTTTTCTCTTCTCAAACCAGTCTTTTCATAAGTTTGAAAGTTTGTACGAACTAGCTTGCTCGGTTTTATTAAGCGTTTTTTAAAATCCGCTCTTCAGATCGCCCCACTCAGAAATGTGAAAGTGTGGCAGAGAAGCTTGAATGACCATAAGTCGTACGATTATTTCTGAACTGCAAAACTCAGAGAAATCTATATCTTTGGAGGAAGATTTTGATTTAAGTACACATTTCATTTTCTTTATGACTGTTGCATTCAGTATAGTCTTGTAGCACGGCCCGAAAGCCATATCCCTAAAGAAGTCGATCATGTTTTACAATGATGGTGCAGGAAAAGATTCATTATTATATTCAGCTTCACAAGTATAAGAAATAACCTGGGTTAGTATGGTTTCTTATGCCAATGAGCTGTAAGAGAATTACTCACTATAACCCTTTCTATTGATCTAAAGTAAAAGAGACAAGAAAAATGAGTCGTCCATCCCACCAACACTTTGTTTTTTCTTTCTCTCTTTCTCTTCCAGGCTCCTTCTTAGCATATTTGTAGTTATCTTAGGTTCATTGGTTAGCAGCGCATCGGCGGTAAGTACAACTTTCGTTATTTCTCCCCCGTCCCCACAATCCTGCTTGGATGAGCATGCCAATACTTTTCATGCCAGGATCAGTGTGCATGGAGGAAATCACGGGCACGATCCCTTTTGTGACATGTGACCAAAGGAAAGTATGACAAAGATAAGAAAGAGCCCATAATATTTACATTTCAGTTAGTCTAGGCCAAAGTTAAAGTCTCAAACTCATACAGTATGCAATGTGCAGTAGGGTACTCGCAACTTTTTCATGTATTATATTGTCGTCGGTGAAAGTCAACAAAAAAAAAAAAGGCGAATGAGGACCCAAACTATAACAGAAAAAAGTGCATGATGCATGAGGGTGTGAGGAGGAAAAAAAAAAGGGGGGGGGGACGGTGGGTCACGTTTTTCTTTCACGTGTTCCCCCCTCCCCGCTCAAAATTTTGCTAAGGAGGCAAAATCCAGCAATTAAACTTGATGGTCCAACTAGTATAATAGTGGGCCTGCTGCAGTTGCGCAGTCCCGTTTCGCCTCCTAGACGTTCCGCCTCACCAGGTGGCGCTGCGCCCAGAGTTGCAGGGAGCATTCATTGTGTAATGGGCGGAAATGCTAAAAGTGACTGACGTCACATGTCACGTAACATTCTGTATCCCCAACAAGACTTTCGACTTTTTCCTCATCCCTCGCCCACTTTCGTTCTTTCATTCCTGCTTTTCTCTTTTTCTTTTTTTTCTTTTTCTTTTTCTTTCTCTCTCTCTCTCTCTCTCTCTCTCTCTCTCTCTCTC